CATTCTGTTGATGAATTTAAACGACAAATTGGAAAAAAGATACCAGTCACTGGTCAAGGAAGCCGCAAAGTCATGTTGCTGCATGATGACGCTCGACCGCTAAAAAAAAACTATAAAAGTCATCTTCAGTTTGCGGTGAGAACTTCCTCCAACGTACCTCGATTTCCTAACGACTTTCTGACCTTAACCGATATCGCTTCGATATAGTGAAAATATCAATCGATGATTTTATCACATCGAAACCGCCAAGTTTCAACCGCAATGGAATTCGTATTTCACCGGAAACACGGAGAAAAATCATTGGAAACAAAACGAACGAGTATATTTCAATTTTGTTTTTTTTTTTTAAATAAAAATCCAACTTTACTTAGAAAAAAAAAGCAAATTCTTTTCGAACACCTAAGTCTACAGTTGATATTACTATTGATGTTCCTTAATTTGTTACTCTTGAACGAAAACAATTTTCTCGATTGGTGCACGAAACGTCAACCAAAGAACAAAACGACGGGTGAAAATAATCGCGTTCTCCAGGTAGAAAAGTCTATTTTCTGGAGAACTCGATTACGCGGTAACGCGAGTTTCTTTCTCGCTAAGCTAATCTGCCGCAGTTATTTAATATTATCCACGCGAAGCCGCGTACCGTTCTCTAGCATCAGCAACACTCCTCTGCATATCGTAATTGCAGACTTCGTAATTTTAGCCTCTGTTCGTGTTACGAGCAGACCAGCTGATTTCCTATGCCACAGAAGAACATTGCCGGTCTAACGTGAGTCGATATTTCAACCGCGTCGCGTTGTGTACGATTACGCTCGTCTCGTAACGTATCCATTATGCCGTATAACGAAGTCTTTCAGAAACGAAACTGCCCGATGTACCGTGACTCGGTTGCATATTATTTATCACCGGTCGACAAACGTGTCGAATGCCATCGATGGGGTCTCTCATGAAATTTTTATTCAGTTCCTACCATCGATACGCAACACCACTTTCGAACTTTGGAAACACCGTTTAGGACGCTTTCAGAGGAAATTCCTTTCCAAGTATTTTTATGTCACACATTTCGGTGTAGACAATTTATGGAAATTTTCATTCGATCCTACCGTTCCTTGTGGATCCAATTTTCTAACGTTGCAAACTTCCTTTTCAACCCTTTCAGAGGACATTTGTCTTTTTTTTTTTTTTTAATTAATTTCACACTGCACTCTAGATAAATCGATGGAAATTTTCATCCAGCTCTGCCATTGGTATGGATCCAACTTTGTAAACTCTCTTTTGAACGCTTTCAGAGTTCTTTTTTTTTTTTTAATTATATTTATGTTACACTCTGGAGATTGAATGAATTTTTGAAGAGAGTAAACGGTGTTCTACTTCTTTTTCTTGTATCAATTTTAGCACTTCCACGAAGCTTGGTGTATTAAAAATAAACGAAAGCTTGAATTTATTATTCGAACCATCGTACACAAATTTCATTTGATTTATTGTGATTGAATTTTATTACAGAACTTTAGGAAGGTAGTTTCACTTTATCAAATGAGAAAAACTTATCGTACTATCAGTATGTTAAGCACTTTCGTTCATCAGCGTTTTCTGCAATTCATAAGCTGGAAAAGTTCTTCTGGCAAATATTTGCCCGTTTCACAGCGTTCGCTGATTAAAATCTTTCGAAATACGCGCGAGTGACGTGCGTTCATTGGGAAATGGGTTGTTTAAGGTATCAAATGGATGGAAATTATAATCGATTCACAAGTTTTACAGTTCAAGGCGATACATACGTGGCAAAACACCTGGTCTCCTCTCACCGACATAATACACCGACGCAATTTTTCATCAACGTAGATTTCCCCATTTCCCCCTCCCCCCCCCCTTTATTGCCAACACGATGAACCCAATTTGTTATTAGACTCTAATTCGATAGCTTACATTCCCCTTACACCCCCTTCTTCATCTGTGTTCCAAGGCTCTCTGTGGACGAGCGTTCAACACAGTCCGTAAACATTTATTTTGTAAACATCCTTCAGTTACGAACATTCTTTGCGCAAACACTCGGCTGTCGACAGGCCAGACCTGCTGGAAAACTTAATCCTTTACTTCCCGACATGTTACCAACCCCCTCGAGTGCATGAATTTCTTACCGCCATCCTCGTTCATGTTTTCCCCTGTCTTTCTTCCAGGAAATTTCATCAAAGATTCAGCTTCTTCTTTTTTCTCTCTCTCTCTCTCTCCCTCTCTCTTTCTTTGCGCGTGTCTTTCGTATGGGATGATCTTGAGAGGAGCAATTTATTTTCTCTTTTAAAAAAGGAACATTCGTAATGTTCGGTGATTATGAAATATTGGAAAAGTAGAATTCATCGGTTAATCTTGTTTTCTTTCTTTTCTTTCTTAAAACGATCCGAAAAATTGCATAGAGTAGATGTTTGAAAGGTTACTTCTCGATTGTTAGGTAAAATATTATAATATCGAATGAAAATTTTGAACATTCGGCATATTTCACGGTGTGGCAATTATAGCGTAGACGTTCAAGGTTGAACGAAAGAATTGTTATATTTCTGACGTTACAACGGAGGTTACAGGGTGGTGATCCACTATTGAGCAGAGGAAAACAATACTTTAACGTCCACACGTTTATCATCCTGCCCGTTTCCTCTATTACGGCTAACAAAAGGCTATCAGTATTCGTAGATAGCGACACCCCGTAATCCTCTATCCACGAGTAGGATATAGCATCCGTGAATTGAGAGTTATCGTCAGTTCCCGCTTGATCCAGTTAAACCGTGGAAAATTCGTCGTTTTCAAACTCTACGTTATAATTATTCAGAACGGTATCCAAGCAGATCTGATCCTACCCTCGTTTTCACCATAGATAAGTTCCTGAGAATCTCTAGATGGAGATTGATCTTTTCCCACTGTCGTTTTACTTCTCCTCCGCCTCTGAAGATCGCTTCTCCGCGCGAACCATAAAATACAGAACGTTTTATAAGGTCAGAAGGATCGTATCTTATAATTCTTACTCTCGCGTTAAGGTACCACATGGTACCGCTAAACGAGGACGCTTGATCCTCTATGGTTCCAGCGAGAAATACGCTTTTCGGTCGTGGAGCAGTTTCGAAAGTAGGTTTTGCACAGATCACAGTTCTTTCTAAATTCAGTCAAAGAGTTTCTTCATTCAAAAATTCTTCCTAAGGCTGTCTTGTCTTTCTTCTACCATTATTGATATTATATAATGCGTGGCTACTGTTCGCGTAGATCCTATTGTCAGGAAAGTATTATATCCTATTATCCGATCATAACGTGTTCACTATTGTTACAATACCGTACTTTCTAATGGAACAGAAGTAGAACGAAAATATAAAAAAAAAAAAAGGAAAAAAAAATGCAAAAAGCATGAAAAATCATGCAGTAGGCTTACAACGCCTTGGAAAATATGAAATTTTGATATGTGCGGCGAAAATATTACTGTCGTTTAGGAAATTTGTAACCATGAAGAATGAATTTATCGACGATTCTTCAGCTTTCTAACGCATACGATACTGTTCGATATTATTGTGGCGCCACGTCTTGTGATTAGGTGTTGAAGCATCGACAGAGGCTATAGGGATAGAGTTTCTAAGCATAGAAACGTGTGCAAAAATTTCCCGCTCGTCGAACAGCAAACAACGGCGGAGAATTTACGTTGCACCGATATTACTCTGTTTAAAAGAAACATTAAACGCACGATGGTGCACGCTGAAATATGCATATTTATTGGCGGCTGTGCGCATGCAGGACGAAATGTGAGCATTTGCGACAGCGCGTGCATGGTATACGTGTTCGATCCTCCGCAAGACGCGCATGTAACATTTCATTATTTTCCATCCATGATTCACGACCCTCGACTCGTGTCGAAAATTGGTGCAATTCTTTTTTTTTTTTTTCCGTCACGAATTATACGGGAGCGTTTGTCGATCGATGGTAAAAAGAGTGACAATCGGTCGATCATGCTCACTTTTTTCGTGAATCTCCTCTTTGGAGGATAATGGTACACGAAATGGTAATTTCTTGCACGATTTGTCCATCAGACGTTTGATCTGGAGCTTACAGTTTGGTGCATAGTTAGATAAACATAAAAAGTGACAATCGATCAAATATATTCGCATTTCTTAGCGCGAGTTTTCGTTTAGAGAATAGAAACTCGAAGAATGGTAATTTCTTGAATGATTTGTAATTATTAATTATAAATTATAGTTCGTCGAAGATAATATTGTGAATTACAGTAGAAGAGTGATCATCGTAGATCATGTTTTAGATTAGAATACATATTTTTAAAGAGTAACAAAATGGAAAATATGTAATTGTTCGGGTTTATAAAAATTCTGAGAAATACATGGACAATAATTTCTATGTAAAAAGAAAACGACAAGCGGTAGTAATGCAAGCACCAAACTTCTAACGATAAAAAGTGAAATAAAAGGCATCTTTGATCATCGCGAAAATTCTAGCTCGCTGGAATCTAGATTTACTCGGCGAACCTGAACAACTGTTGCAAAGTGGGCTACAAAAAGAGCAACAAACGTGAAATAACATTTAAATATTAAGCACAACGTCTGGCAAGCTTATCTAATGGGGAATTTGCGCGGCAAACTAAGTATGCATTTCGATCAGATGAAACGAAAGGGTAGAAGGAAACATCGTGCAAACTCAGGGTGCAAACTGAAGGAGGGAGTAGCAACGAACGATGGAGATGTTAGATGTGTTTAAAAGAAAAAAAAAATTACTTTCACGCGATGGTCTAATACCGTTTTTATTGCAAACGCAAGGATGAAACTTCCACCAGGTGAGAGGTAAAAAAAGAGTTCGTGCTGTGAAACGAGTTGCGGAATCAGATAAAAACTAAACAGCCTCGCAAGGACAGATGAAAATAATAGGCGGTCGGTGATCAAGCACGAGGACGTGGGGAGGAATGATTGCACGTTAAAGGTGGGAAAGGCTAATGTATCGTCAATGGTCACATTCACTGTACCCACTCCAACAGTTGCGGCGGCTTGAAGCTGATGTCCAAACGATACGTGGCCTCGCAGCTCAGTTTAACGGTCTTCAATTGACGAAATCTCGCCGAGGTCTCCATTTTACAATAAACTGGACCTGCGGTCGGTTCCCTTCTCAGGGATAAGGTCACTCGAAAATGTCCATCAGCACCCATCTGGCCCCATAATTCAACTTTGAATGAGGAAATTAAAAAAAAAAAAAAAGAAAAGAACAATGCTTATTGTCTGTTCTTGTTTGTAATTGTTCGAATCCGCGCTTTCTGATTATATTCGATGGGGAAATTCGAGAGGCGACGATTGGAAAATTCGCGCACTCTTCGTGAGAATACCCAGCGACAGGGCAAACGGACGCTGCAACGTGCGCCGTGAGCGTCGCGACGCTTACTGAACCACGGCGTCGTAGACCTAACGCGATTCCGGCACGCGACGGCGGCTTTGACTTTTCTCTGTTTTGCTTCTGAACCCCTTCGGTGCCGGATCACCTTCCCTTTCCGATCACCAGGAGATTCTTGCACACCTGGCTTTTGCGTGTTCGACACGACTCTGTTGTGCGCATGGAATGATTGAAATAATTTTTTCGAATGTAAGCGAATTATTATTTGAGGGTCGACGTGAAAAGAAGTACACGTGTGGTTTCATTCCTCTTTAAATTTGACATTTTTTTCTTTTTCATAGAAGGAAGAACGCAATACGAATATTAGGAAATATTAAGGAAAGGAATAATAATATTAAGGAATTAATATTAGGAATATTAAGAAAAAGAATATTAGGAAAGTTAGGTATCGTTGATATGTAATAGGCATCGATGGGTCGATTAATTATATTAATGGTTCGTCACTTTGTTGAATGCATAAGAAGAAGCAGGAACAGTAGTAAACTGACTTCAGAGAAACAGTGCTTCAAATAACAAGATACTGCAAAAAATTATAGGATGCAAATGGGATTACTACCACACAGTCGGGAGACCTGCCCGGGAACTAATATCTAACACCTCGATGTCGTGAGGTGCTACCTTCCGATGCTCTCAAGGTCGTGTAACCCATTTCGGACCAATTTAGATCGTTCCATTGGGTAAACCCTACAATCGATGACCCATCTTAAACCACTCCAGAATTATAGAACTCCATGATTTTTTAGAATCATGAAATTGAAGTCGAACCATCTCGGATTATTGGAACCTCGACTTCCGTGGAATTGAAGGACTTTGGATACAAGGAACTTCTACCACCATGATGCAAGTATCACTTGATCATTTGAAGTAATCTAATTCAGATCCTATCACATCAAAATTCCAAAGTCTTTGGAATAATCCCGCACTTCAAAAATCATGAAATTCGATATTTCTCAACTCTGGAATGACTGACGTAAAGTTCCACGATCCTAAGATCACGAAAATCGAGATTCTTTTGATTCTAAGGTATTATATACTCAACTTTAATGAATCATAGACAGTCTATTATAAAGGTGTGTATTAAATTATTAAACAGTTATAATGCAATAAATATTTTATTGACACTTTTATTTCTTCAATTGTATAAGTTTGACATTATTTTTTAAAACGTACGAATGATATAAAGGTATTAAGAACAGATTTACAATTGCTTATACTTTTTAATATACATATACGACTTTGCATCTTTTTTGTTGCTTACATTATCAAATCTGTGTCCAACATTGTCTATGCAACATTTACACAATTGAATATAAAGGGCA